CCGGGTAATAATCGGGTTTTTGTGTGCATGTGTGTGTTTTTGTGTTTTAAAGGAAAACGGGGAGAAAAAAAGGGCGGGGAAGTTGCCGGTCATTCGTGCTTGCTGTTGGCATTTATTCTAAGGGAGAGACATCAGCTTGGGGTTTTTTTTGCGTAGGGGATCTGCGCTTGAACGAAGCCCCACTCCCCCCGCACCTTTTGCTTTCGCTCCCGAGCCGGCGCTTTTGAAAGGGGCTTGACTGCAGCCTGGGATTCCGAGCGGGAAACGCTGCTGCTGCTGCTGCCGCCCGCACTGCTGTGGACTTACAATATCCCAGCAAAAGACTTTGCAAAAGACCACACCAGACGCCTCGCGCGAAGAGGGGAGGCCTGGCGACGCTGCGCTCTGCCGGGAGCTCACCGACAGAACCGGGGGGGCCGAGGCGGCCAGGGAGGAACAGCCAACTGCCGGAAACCAGCCGGAACTGCTGGGGCCGGCCCGTATTGAAGAATACGGCCGAATTTACCCGGGCTGGCCGAGAAAGGCGCACCTCCAGCCTTCCCCGCAACCGGGAGAAGCCCCCTCCCTTTTGCAAGGTCGCCCCCTCCCCGCTTTTGGGGTGGGGGAGAATTGAGAGAGAGAGAGAGAGAGAGAGAGAGAAACACACACACACACACACACAAAGAGGAGAGGGGAGCCGGCCGGCCCACCCGTTTCCCCCTTTCCCTGCGCGAGCGTGTGAGGATGGAGCAGCGGCCAAGGGTTTATAAAGCAAGCGGCGGAGTCCTGCAGCTCAGAAGCAACACGGGGGGGAGGGAATCGGAGCTAACTGAGGAAGGAGGCTGCTGTTTCTGCTGCCGCCGCCGCCAGCCGGGTCATAACACGGTAAATAAATACGAGCGTAGGGGATCCGCGCGTGAACGAAGCCCCACTCCCCCGCCCTTTTGCTTTTGCTCCCGAGCCGGCATTTTTTGAAAGGGCTTGACTCCAGCCTGGGATTCGGAGCGGGAGACGGCGCCGCTGCTGCTGCCGCCCGCGCTGCTGTGGACTTACAATATCCCAGCAAAAGACTTTGCAAAAGACCACCCCGCCAAGGGGGAAAGGCGCGCAGTTGGGCACCGTCTGCCTTCGGCGTCTCTTTAAACGGTGCTCGGATATTGTAAGTCCACAAAG